GTCAACTCAACTTAATTAATGATCCTGATCTAATTAAACAACATGTTATAAGCACTTCCAAAACTTTGCCATTCCTGACTCACCTGCTTCCCCCCTCTTTGAAAGATGGATAGCCCAATATCAACCAAAAAACTACGTGAATGAAAAATGGTTCGACAATATTATGCAACCCCCTACCATAGAAGAATGGTCCTCAGTTATATCACAACTTCCTAATGACAAAGCTGCTGGCCCAACAGGAATTCATAATGAAATGATAAAACATTTAGGTTCTAACACACACCGCCTTTTTTGAAAATTGATAAAAATTTGCTTTGAACTTAGTGATATTCCATCTGAATAGAAAATTGCACATGTTTACCCAATTCCTAAACCTGTAGATTGAAATTGTGATATCACAAAAACTCGTCCTATTACTTTATTAGAAACTACTAGGAAAACCTTCGTAAAAATAATTACCAATCGACTTTTAAAACTTCTTGCTAAACATAATGTTTTAAAAGGTAATAATTATGCTGGTCTCCCTGGTGGCTCGACAGAGGATCCTATAAAGATAATGAACCTAATCATTGAAGATGCGACGGAAAATAAAAAGATCTATGAATTCTCTTACAAGATTTATCTAAGGCTTATGATCGAGTAGACCTTAATATTTTAAAGCTGGCTCTTAAACGAATTAAAATTCCAGAAAACTGCATCTCTTGTTTGATAAATTTATTTACAAACAGAAAAAATGCAGTTTTTATAAAAGACGGCTTCTCAGATTTGTATGACGTAAAAATTGAAATCGACCAAAAAGAAGTCATATCACCATTATTATGATGTATTTATTTTGACCCACTCTTATGTGAGATAGATAATCTAAAAAAAGATTATATTATAGAACATTCTTAGATCTCTGATGTCAAACACATGACTTCCTCCTCTTTGTCTGAACAGGTTTTAGCCCTAGGATATATGGACGACTCAAATTGGCTGGCATACTCTAAGGAAGATTTGGAAAATATATTAGAAGTAGCTGATGAATTTTACTCTATAACCAAAGCTGCTATCAACAAATCTAAATCATAATTACTAACGAATACAGTTACAATCTCACAACCAATACATATCAAATTTGGATCTAACATAATATATATCAAACCAGAACTTGGATCTATAAGATTTTTAGGAGTCTGGATTAACATATTCAATTCAAAATGTTTTGTCAAGAAACAAACCAAAGACACTATTTCTAACTTTACCGCTATTCTTAAATCCAAACCCCTTACCGATAAACAACTTAGCTACATTATTAATATGATGCTTTTTCTATTATTAGAATATAGATTGCAGACTATACCACTATCCTTTAATGAATGTAATCAAATTTCTGCTCCAATAAGAAGAATAGTTAAACATAATTTATCAATGACTTTGACTTCTCCTGACTGTTTATTCAAAGGAAGTGTTTTTTATAACCTAAATGACCTTTGGACATAATAACTAAAATCATACTCTACAGCACTCCTTTATCAATTCAACTCAAAATCCATATACAAACGCATTTCATTAATTAGATTATTCCAACTACAATCTCAACATTCTTTACACACCTCTTCTCTTCAACATTGGAATCAACCCTTTAACAATAAATCCTATAGAAATATTATTGGAGCTACATTAAGTCTAATAAATCATGGCAAGATTGGATTATCTTTTGATACACATCAATCTTTACTCAATAATATTAAAGGCAGATCTTTACCTCTTTCAATCATATTCACAATAGAAGAATTAAAGAAACATAACAAGGTTTTAAACAGATACTCGCTACTCTTTATTGACCAATTCTTGGATATTACTGGCTCATATTGCTTGAACTGGAAGGACATATCCTAACGAAGTATATACAATCATATGGCCTTATCTTATACTCCTAAAGTTTACAATATAGTAGAAAAACGGATCTTAAATAGGTTGGATAGTAGATTAGTTAAAAATTCTTTTAGATTAGATAATGTTAATAATAGTTATATAGACTCACCTAGTATAGAAATTAGTTTAGCTGACAAGAAAAAAGAATTTGTAACTGTTTACCACCCTGTTTCAGATGTGATTATCATTAGAAGAATCATTAGAAAAATAAAAGATTATAACAATATTTTGGTTCAGCACTTTGTTCAAGCTGAGCCACATACTGACCTCAACCTAATATATAATAATAGATTAATTACTCAATGTTCTGGATGTAACCTTAATGATTCAGCTCTAATGAATTTTTGTAGAGACCCACCCAAACATCTGAGGTTTAAATTCAGTAGATCGATCTCATACACAACTTGCGTTAAAGGTTACAATGCTCTCACTGTAATAGTAGTTGAAAGAAATAAAATACCACATCCTTTAAAAAAGACCTCTTTTATTATGAAACAATCTCCTACAAATTACATAGCAGCTCATAATTATCAACTTATGAGGAAAAAGTCTTTCGAATAATCCACCTTATATTCTCAAGACTCTCTCAATAATAGATTGGCTGATTCTGATATTCGTTCTTCAAATAGTACACTAATTACAAAATGCATTATGGATATTTCTTATCAGAAGAGCTTCATTGACTTATCTTTGTTATGTAATAACCTTAGTTCACCAGTATTCTATACGGATGGTTCTTTCTCAGCTCTAACTACAATAGATTGTAAAATGGGTTTAGGATGGATTTGCCCAAATTCCAACAACGAACAGCAAATCTCATTTAAGACGACAGTTGTAAACTCTCCGTCATCTACCAGAGTTGAACTCTTTGCTCTTCTTTCTGCTTTAATCATTTGTCCTCAATCCTCTTCACCAACAATTTTCCTCGACAGCCAAGCAGTTATTGATGGATACAATAATTTTTGCCTAACTAACAATTTTACAATGAGGACCCATGAAAAGATACCTAATTACAATATTTAGATATTAATTTCACATATAATCAATGAATTGCATCTATCCGTCAAATTAATAAAAGTCAAAGGACACTCAGAAGATCACTACAATGATATAGCTGATAACTTAGCGAAAGCTGGATGCTCTATGCCACCCCTGAATATTAATCATACAGCCTTCGATGATTTACAGCTCCTTTTCAACTTTAAAAATGTCCCTATAAAATCTTCAATTAGAAAATTCTGGAAACATATGAATGCAGCTAAGCAATTCTCAACCTTTTTGGATTTCAACCGAAATTTCACACTAGCTCAACACATATGTTCTTCTGACATTCATTGATCTACTACTTTTTCTGTCTTCAATTCGAATATGGGTGACAATTCTACTGCTACCTTATTTGTTCAATGACGAAGAAAGAGCTTTAAATTGAAATCATTGATAGAAGAATTACCTACATTGGACAAACTTATAGTTAGGCATCCTGACCTTTATCAGAATTGGTCATGTATTTTTTGCAGACATCACAGTGAAGACTACAATCATTTGTGGAATTGCCCAAATAATATTCAGAATGTCACTGATACTAGATTATCAACATATGAATTTATTCATAGGATCATCCTTAACAAAATCGGTCAAAATGATAATAAACTAGACCTTTACCTATCTAGGAAAGAGAAAATTATGGAATACTTGGACCCTTCACTTCATCCCACCACCTGCATTTACTTGGTCAAAGGAATAATCCCTAATAATATGTTATCATTATTAAAGGAACTATTCTCTCTTTCTACTGCTAGAAACATTATTTTAGATACTTCAAATTTTTTTACCACTGCTTTTCACGATAACATCTGGGTCTCTAGATGCAACAGAATGATCGAAGAAGAAAGAAAGTTGGGAATTTCTAAAAGGTTGAAAAAGAAAAAAGTCAAGATAAAACATCTAACTATTACAAAAATTTCTAAACAATTATCATCAAGATGGTCAGATTGGATATTATCGGCAATTAATTTTGGCTTCTCTTGGATAGATTTCATAGATGGTACTGACAGTTTCATTTGAATGTCTTATTGAGGACTTAATCATTAGATATGGATCTTTTGGTTCTTTCTGAAGGATATTCCGGTGATTGGTCAATCTAAACGGGTTTGTAACAGAATCACGAGAGATAGTCTTAGTTTAGTTTTTATTGTTTTTACTTTTAAATTAGTTTTTTTTATTTTCTATTTTATTTGTAATTTTTATAACATAAATATAATAAACTTAAGACAGTATCACATCGTTAAAAAAAAAAAAAAAAAACAATGAAACCGATGATAATGCCATTAACGAAATTAAATATGTTTACATAGTTAATGTAGTTTACTTAATTAAACTTGTTAATTAAGTTAACAATGTTTACAAGGTTTCTGTAGTTTATTAAATTGTACTTTATCTTAATTTAGTAATAGAATTAGATCCAAAGTTTTGTATAAATAGAATAGGAATTTCATGTATTTTAGTTAGTGAGTGATAAGTCAGTTACAAGTTAGTTAGTCTTGAGTGAATTACAAGTCAGATAATTACTCAATAAGTGAGATCAAGCTAGATAGTCTTGATATTAATTATTAGATAGTTATTCTAATATAGTTTTAATATAATTTAGTTTATTGTTTATTCTTTAATTTTGTAAGTTCGCAAACAAGAACTTATTTAAATTATTGAATGGTATTGATTCTAATTTCTCTAATTAATAAACCAACCTTTTACCTTATAACTTTAACTAGTTAAACTCGTAATATAAAACCCAATTCATCATTATTGCTCTTCTATATATATATAAACATATACATTGATTGTAGTAATTACATTGATAATTCTATTGATGCCAATAAGACTTTAGGATTATTAATATAAATTATTATCCTTCAGATACTTAAAATGTTACTATATGCGTTAAAGTCTATTTTTCAGTTAGTAGACTTCGCAATCGACTCATATAACAAATTTGGTGCGGGTTGGGTGAACACAAAATTAGAATTTAAAAGAATTGAGAGAAATTGAGGAATTGTAAGTTAGAATTGATTGATGTCTAACGTTAGAGTTTATCTTAAACCTTTATATACACCTCAGTCATTGCAATTGGAATTACAATTGAGAACTTTGAAGAATTTGCTTGAAAGCGTTAGTGAAGATAAACCAGTACCACTGAGTGTTATCCAATAACAGAACAACCTTCAGAAGCATTTGAGAACTTTTGGTATTTCTGGATAGTTTATGCAATAAAAGGAGAACAGTTTAATAGTATAACTGTTAGAGCTCACTTACATTAGAAGAGAATTCAGAAGCATTAAGAAAGTGCTTTGAATTAATTATACAATCAATTAGATACTAACCACTTGCTTAGGAACCCTTGGAAACATTACTTACAGACTTAGAAAGTGCTTGGAATAGTTATTTAGAATTTGATTGTTGGGAATTTGAAACGTCAATAAAATCAGGAATTAATTCTAAAAGTAATTCAAAAGGAACTTCTAAAAGAACATCTCAAAAATCTTCAAACGCATTAAAGATGAACAAAGATACATTCCACATAGGTACTTCAATATCTGGCAGAAGGATATCTGAAAATCAAGCTGATCCACATAGAGAATGGGCAGCAATCCTTAATAATATTTTTTCTGATTGTACATTTAAGTAAAAATATGAAGAAATGATTTCAGAAGAAGACAAAAGAAGTGCGTGAAATACAATAAAAAATAATCCAAAATACTCCTCTGGAAATATACTTCTGATGATCTTGAAAAACCACATATTAGATACTACTGTATGATGAATAAATAGGAGAAAGACAATTCACTAAAAGATCCAAACCCATAGACCAACCTAGAAACAGAGAAATCCAGAAAACAGAGATTTAACAATCACAGAATATGATGATACATATCAAAATAATCAGGATGAAGAGGATCTTGGAACAACATGAAATATTGAAGATACAACTTTTAGTCAAATTCGAAATATGCAAGAGAAAAGGAATACCTATCAGAATATAACCAATGATAGAAGAGAGAATACTGACAATAGAGAGGAATAAAGAAGACTAGAAGGAGGAAATGATGTAATCGCACAATTCTTGTAAGAATTTGGAGATTTATTAAAAGCACATACGGCAACTCCACATCCAATAGCTCACGAAGCAAGACTAGTAAACTTCTCAGAATTTAAAGGAGGAAATCAGGATCCAATTGAATGATTAGAAACTTTTGAACAAAGCTTGTAAGGCTAACAGAGTTGCTAACAATCGTATTTTTGATATATTGCCTAACTATTTAAAAGGAACAGCTCTCACATAGTTTAGCAAAGGCAATATTATATATTGAAGAAATAACATGTTGCAGAATAGATCCTTTGTTCATCAATTCAAGGACCATTATTGTAGTATCTTCATAAAGCAACAGTGGAAGCATCAGTTGCAAAATCTTAAACAAAGGAATAGAGAAACTATCAATGAATACGTAGCTTAAATTACAGAATTATGGAAAAGATTAGATCCACAAGGGACAAGGCAGGAGGTTGACAAAATAGCAGAATTCATAGAGGGATTGAGACCAGAATTCATTGTGTCAGTTCAATCTTTATTATTCAGAACAGTTGATGAGGCCATAAATAAGGCTTTGGCATTGGAGACAGCATACTCAATTGGAATAGAATTATCTGCATATTCAATGATACCAAATTATCTTCAGGGTATGAGTGGTGGATTTGTTCCAGCTCGAACAAGTATGTCTACATTCCAATAGGCCTTACCAATAAATCTCTCGCAGCAAAATTAATCAATGGAAGATATGATTGATCGAAAATTAGCCCTATTCATGTCAAAATTAGAAGAACAAAATAAGCCAAATAATAATAGTAATAGTAATAATAGGAGTAACAATAGAGATATAAGGACTACCATAAATGTAATAAAGTTGAACACATCGCAAGAGACTGTAGATCAGGACAAAGGAATAATAACAATTCTAATAATAATAAAAATAATAGTAGCAATAATCATAATAATAATACAAAGGTGTGCTATAATTGTAATAAAACTGGCCATTTTGCAAAGAATTGTTGGACTAATTAAAATAATAATTAAAATAATAGTGGAAGTAGTAATTACAAAAATAGAAATAGAAATAACCAGCAAAATAATAGACAATTTTCAGGAGGAAACCAGCAAATAAACTCCTCTATCAATCATTTAAACTAGTGGATGCACCTTTAGAAGGTAAGAGTGCGAATAATTTAAATCCTCTAAGAAAACAAATAAAATAAAGTGATCTGCTAGAAGAAATTAGAGAATTTAAGAAGAAAGATTATAAGAATGAATATATTATTGTTGACAAGCTTTCAGATGATGATGAATTAGTTGAGTATTGGCACATTTTTCAAGGATATAATACTTCATGTTTAGTTTGTGATTTTAATGATGTTGACTATCATAGTCACATAATCACAAGGAAAAAGAATCTTGAAGTCCAAAAGATTTTAAAGCAACAAGATAACAGAAAGCCAATTATATCTGAAAGCAACAAATCTAACAAATCCCATAATCCAGTCTATATAATGAACATCATCTACAATGATGTTAGAATATTTCTATCGAAAAGGATCAATAAACACAAGGAAATGTATAACCTCTGGTAGGTTCCTGGAGGAAAGTTGAAGAAAATGAGTATTCAATCGAAGCAGTTATTAGAGAAACAGAAGAGGAAACAGGATTAATCATTAAAAATAATATATCAAAACTTATTTTTAATGATCCTGAATTTAACTGTGATGTTTACATTACTAAAGTAAATATGAATACAACCCTTAGAAATACTGAACCAGATAAGCAAAGTTCATGGATCCTAAATGCTTTTGAAGAATATAAAGGAAAATGCAAAAGAAAAGAAATGACTCCAACACATGTTAAATATTTCCAAAAGATATTTGAAAATTTAGAGATAGCTAGGACAACTGCTCAAGCTCAATGGAAAGAACATAAACCCCAGGATGCTTATTTTGCTGAAGCTAAAGTTTTTGGAAGAAAAATTAATGTGATGATTAATATAGGAGCTGTAGGATGCATCATTACTAAAGGTTTCTTAGATTCTGTACATAAAGATATTGAGGCGTCTACAAATGTATAAATAATTAGTGTTACAGGAGCAAGGACAGCGCTCTTAGGAAAAATGATGAAAGTAGGAGTAAAAATAGGAAAATTTGAGATCAAAGAGGATATGATAGTTACTGAATCCTCTGGATATAATGTTCTACTTGGAAATGATTGGATAACTATGCAAGCAAAAGCTGTCATTTATACAAGCAAACAAATCATGACAATCAAACAAAATAATGAAACTGATGTTGTTCCAATCACGTACTTTTCCAAGATTGATCCAAAAGTGTTTACTCCTATAGATTTTGTTGAGGAAAAACATGATGAGCTAGAACTTGAAGAAATAAATGAAAACCCTCAACACTATCTGAATGTATCCTTTGATAACAATATGACCACCATCAACAGTCAACAATATCCAACTGAATTCTTAGAATTTAGCAAACTTGAACTTCTTAGGACTAATAAGCACTGGAAAGGACCTAGACGGTGTTTATATAAAACATTATCGAAAGGAGAAGATTATTCATATTGTAAAGTACTGCATTGGGATCTACAGGAATATCAAATAGCTGTTTCAATTAATAAAGCACAAATTGAAGTAAGCGATAAACTGATAGAGATATCAAAAGGAAAAGAAATACTAATAGGAAACTTAACAAAAGACCAGCAGCAGCAGTTACAACAGTTGCTAGAGGAGAATAAAGATTTATTTGCCAATGAGAAGTCAGAATTAACACAGACCAATATCTTTCAACATGCAATCATCACAGAAGATGTGCATCCTATAAAGAGGAAACCATATGCAACATTTTCTAAAGAAAAAGAATGGATAGCATCAGAAATAGAAGAAATGTTAGAGCAAGAAGTAATCTGACCATCTAATAGTCCTTGGTCTGCACCTATAGTTTTAGTCAAAAAGAAAAATGGTCAGATGCAGATGTGTATTAACTACAAAAAACTTAACACAATCACAAGAAAAATAATTATCCATTACCCTGAATAGATGAGCTATTAGACTCACTTCAAGGCTCTTGTTGGTTCACATCCTTAGATCTATTCTCAGGGTTTTGGCAAATAAAAATTCGACCAGAAGATGTAGAGAAAACTGCTTTCATTACTAGTGAAGGATTGTATGAATTTACAGTGATGCCATTTGGATTATGTAATGCTTCAGCTACTTTTCAAAAGATGATGGATACTATTTTTCAAAAGGAAAAACAAAAGTTTGTTAAGGTTTATATGGATGATCTAAACATCCACTCAAAAACATTTCAGGAACATTTACAACATCTACAATTAGTTTTTGATCGAATTAGGAAAGCTAATTTGAGAATCAAAGCAGACAAATGTCATTTTTGTATCAATGAAATAAAATTTCTAGGACATGTAGTTAATGAGGAAGGAATCCAACCTGATTCTTCAAAAATTAAAAAAGTTGTCAATTATCCTAGACCAAGAAATCTAACAGAATTAAGAGCTTTTCTAGGATTAGTTTCTTACTATCGAAGGTTCATTAAGGATTTTTTAAAAATATCATCTCCATTGTATAAACTAACAGAAAAAGAGGAAAGTTATATATGGAATGATGAAAGGCAAAGAGTGTTTGATATGTTGAAAGAAAAATTGATATCAGCATCTATCCTTATGTATCCAGATTTTGATAAACCTTTCGTTCTTTATACTGATGCTTCTTAGATTAGTTTAGGTGCAGTACTTTCTTAAAAAGGAGATGATGGAAAAGAACATGTGATCGTATATGCTAGTAGAACTTTGAATTCAGCAGAAAAGAATTATAGCACAATAGAACAGGAATGTTTGGCTATAGTGTGGGTAGTAAAATACTTTAGACACTATATTTTTGGAAGTAGATTCACAATCATTACTGATCATGCAGCATTACAATGGTTATTAAATACTAAATCAAAATTAACTGAAAATAAAAGGATAATGAGATGGAGACTTACCTTATAAAAGTATAGCTATGAGTAAAATATAGAAAAGGAAAACACCACAAAAATGCGGACGCCTTATCTCAGATAAACCCATATGATTTTAACCCAACACAGGAAAATACATCACTATCATCAAACTCTAGATTTTTCAATAATAGATAACAAATTTTATGAAAATCTAACCTAATATTTGAAAACTCTTACATACCTACTGGATTTGAACAACTCTCAACGGATTAAACTGCAAAAAGATTTAATCTAATACATGATGAAAAATAACCTATTACACAAATGAACTAGAGATGGAGATAAAAAAGTAATTTTGTGTGAACAAGTGGAAATTATTCTTTATAATCTTCATAAAGATATGACAGGAACCCACCTTGGAATTGATGCTACTTATAAAAAGGCAAAGGAAAGATATTACTGGCCTCAGATGTTTGATGATATCAGGAATTACATTTAGCAGTGTAACAATTGCCAGAAAAGAGGATCACCTAAAAGAAAAGAACCTTTGCAACCAATCGAAGTAAAAGCACCTTTTCATAGAGTTAGAATTAATATAAAAGGACCATTATCTAGAACTTCTTAAGGAAATCGTTATATAATTGTTGCCATGAATTACTTTATAAATGGCCTGAAGCTAAATTAATACCAGATATCAAATCAGAAACAGTTGCGAAGTTTATTTTTGATGAAATTATTTGCAGACATAGTGTTTTAGAAGAACTTTTATCTGACAGAGGAACTTTTTTCTTGAACAAAATAGTGGATACACTTTGTGAAAAATTTCAAATAAAACATCGACTTACTTCTACATATAGGCTACAAACAAATAGTATAATTAAAAGATTCAATAGAACAATTGGTGAATATCTTGCTAAATTAGTTGCTGACAAAGAAAAAGAATGGGACGAATATGTAGAATCAGTTTTATTTGCTTACCATACAATGAAGCATAATACTACTGGTTATACACCTTTTTACCTTCTTTATGGAAAATAAGCAAAGCTACCAATTGAATTAAAAATTCTAATAGAATTGCATGATGACAAAAATATTAAGGATACATTAATAAAGAGATTATTTAAGATAATCAACCAATTAGAAGATGATTGACAAATTGCTCTTAACCAAATCAAGGTTGATCAACAGAAGCAAAAAGATCGATATGATATTAGCGCAATATTTGAGAAATTTAAAATAGGTGACAAAGTATTAGTGGAACGCACATGGTTAAAACTAATTTTTCTGCAAAATTAGAGAAACGTTAGATGGGACCTTATTTCATACATGAAGTGCGAGGCAAAAATTACAAATTAAGAAATATGGATAAAAGATTAGTTAAAGATGTAATACATAGTGATCGACTTAAATTGTATTACGAAAATATTCTAGAACCTCAAATTCTTATATAAAGGTCACTCTTTCTAGGTTTAAAATTTAAGAAGAAAATTCAAAAATGGCTACTCCATATGATCTTATAAGTCTTGACATTTTAGAAGTTGACCCTCAGGATGTTTTAGTGATTCCACCTCCATATAATGATGATGATCATTTGAAATTAAAATTGAAATTAACTTATCGACAAATGGTTTAATCCGCAAGATTACATCAGCGTATTCCTACTTTAACCTATGCATATTATTTAGGAATGTTAATTGATTCACATGAAATTCCTAAAGATATTATTAGAAAAACAATTACACCTTATTACAGAAGAGCAGCAGAAAGAACTTATTTTATTTTTGAAAATAATATTTCTTAAATTTATCGATTAAAATTTACAACATTATTTCTAATTGAAAGATTAAAAATGGTTGAATATCAATCACTTTGTTAACCATTCTAATTTCGCAGTAGCTCAATTTTTTAAGGAGAAGATAGTTAGTAGCGTAGCTAACGCAGTTGAAGCAGCAAATTTATTTTTTATTTTATTTTTATTTTTTATTTTTATTATTTTATTAACATTTTATTTAGTTTATTTTATTTTTTTTAGTTATTTAGTATTTTAGTTTATTGGATAATTTTATAAATTTAAAAAAAGGCAAAAACGCAATGATATGCAAAATTTTATTGAAAATAGAAAGATAATAAAATACATCAATATAGAAGAGAAAAAGAAAATACATTTATAAGAAACTATCTATAATAACTATTACTAGCTATAAAAGATAAAGAGAGAGAGCGTGGTCTATAGAACGGCCAAAAAGGCGATAGCAAAGCATAGTTCTATGATAGACAAAATGCAAATGACATCTCTTCCTAAAAAAGATATTTAGTAGTAAATTAATCATTAAGAGGCACGTAATAAGGAAAATTAAATTCTTCACTTCTCTGACGAAGTTGCTCCAATAATCTTCTAAAGTTTCTTTAGATTTAATCTAAATTATTCTAGAGATTTAGACTGATTGGACATCTTCATAACTTTAAAGACGATTAATATCAGCTCTTGCACAATTGTATTAAAATAAAAGGCCCTCATATTCTACTTCAAGGTCTTGATATCGACGCCTATTACGAGATAAATGGAAAGATAAATGACGAATTTCGTTAGATAAACTCTCTACTTGAGATAAAGAGGAATTTAATAGTTATCGAAGCCTGTAATTTTCAATATCAAGTTCATCTATTCTTTATTGTCTTGTCTCTTCTTCTTGATTTCGAAGGTTGTATTGGCAGCGAGAGAAAAATTACTTGCGGAAACTTTTGCCCATGTTGAAAATATAAAAGTTAAAAAGGAAAATATTTTAAGGAAAAAGTTTAAAATTTTACAATAATTTTTGGAAGAAAGCAAAAATTTTAGAAAAAATAGAAGAAAAATTTTGACGAATATTTATAAACAAAGAAAGCGGCTGTATAGAATTCTTAAAAATTCTCAAGATCGTGAGAATTCTCCCCTGCAGAAATATAAACAAACAACTATTGGTTCAAATTTGTTGATGATTATGGCGTGACATTTTTAAGGAATAAAACCTGTTTAAAATGGAAATCACGCAATCGATCGACAAAATTTGTAATTCTATGGAAGAATTTAGAACAAATTGGAAATTTTGTTATTGAAAATCTGCAAACAAAGAAATTCATAACAAAAAAAATTTGTTTAAGAAGTATTCGATGGAGCTTACTCTTTAAGAAGGGAAGTGTTAAATAGAATAACTCTTGAACTAATAATTAACATTTCAATGGAAATAGTATCATTAGAACCATCTTGATAAGAGCTTTCCAACGAATATAAGCTCGACCTGATTAGACCAATAGATAACAAGATATTTCAAAAAGAATGATCAAGTATAATTCCGTAAATTATTGTTAAATGTAGCCGTAATTCCTTAACGCGAATTAGCGATCGTCCGGCCGAAATTATGAAAATGACGGAAATGACGAAAACTATCGTAACAATAAAACCGATGGTGAAAAACTCTTTCTCACTGAAAGAAAACTTATTTTTTTATTAAAACTTTAAAAGAAGTCTTAGACTTTCAAAAACTAAAAAACTATATTACGCCTGAACTTGAAAAAAGAGACTTTGCCATTGCAGAATTTCTCTCTTACGAAACATCAGAAGTGTTTTGGCTTGTTAGGAAACTAAATGAAGAGTATCTAAAAGCTTTCCCAGCAGAACGTACTGCTTAAGAAATATTTCTTAATAATAATTTTATTGATAACCTTGCGAGGTCTTGTGCCTACAATATTCATGAAACAGGAACAAGCGACCATAGAACACATAACACAGAACATATTATTTCAAATACAATTGAAACTGCTCTTCCCATCAAAGAAAATGATGATATTATTTCAACTATCGACGAAGAGGAAATAAACTCACAAATGGACATACTCAACGATGATGACATGCTTACGGATTCAAATCTTACACGACATAATAATCTTCCTTCATCACTCTTGTCTTCTCACGCACAACAACAACTTTCTGACAAAAATCATAATAAACCGTTACGTAACAATCACAACAAAGATAATAATAAAAATCAAACTTACGCGTCTATTTTATAATAAAACAAAAATAATAATACTTTAGACGCGTCTGTAGATCACCCAAGCAGAAATAACAATATTGACGCATCTTCACATAACTCAATCAACAACAATAACAAACAAAAACCAAAGTTACACAAAAAGGATCTTCATCATACGTTAAATAATTCTTCTCACGTGACTCAACCAAATAACAAAGGAAATGTCTTTGTGTCAATTTTAGCTTTTGCTATGTCAGGCGATACTAGAATAGACAAATTGACTCTCATATCCTCTATCTTTTCTCATAAACCAGGTTTTGTTAACATTGATTGGAAATTTCACAATGGAAATGCAAACATTTTCATAGAATTCAACAATAGAAAGCTCTTATTAGATGCTATAGATGATGCTTTAACGAATTACCCAGAGCTTCCATTCAATTAATAAATGAGGCTCCTTTATTGAATCTCTATCACAACAATCTTACTTACAAATTAAAAACAGTCCCTAGCAATATTACACAACATCATATAAACAGAGCTCTTTCTTATTTTGGTTCAATCGCTTCCATTGTGGATCAATACAGAAATCAATACTCCTCGTTACGTGATGTTATCATCATGTTTGATAAAGTTAGAAAACCACATCAGTTGAATACGACTTGGGCGCATAACATAAACGGCCAAGTGATTAGATGTGCGCATATTGATACTTTGATAGACGAACTAAAAGATAGGAATCGTTATGTAGCTGGCTTTAAAGGTTTTATAAATAAAACTATACCAGCTGATGCCTTCCGTACCCTAAGAGCATTTAATGCTAGATCTTGTTACTTTCACAATAACATAGCCTACGCTACCTTTGTAACTGAAAAAGATATGAACTCAACGTATTCACAAAGAATCATACATAATGGATATAAACTAGATGGAAGACCTAGAGTTCTTAACTGTCCTTACACACAAGCTGAATTAACCCATTCATCTGATAATACCACCCATAGGTCTCTTATCAACAATTATTAAAGAAACAGGCGCCTCTCATTCAACAACAATCTAAATAAAAAAAAAGGCAAGGATGTTGAATACACACTTCCTACCACACAAAATAGTGAAACTCTTCCCAATAGTACTTCTAATCCCTTGGATTTAATTTTAGCCAAACTCCAAGAACTAGACTCAATCAAATCTCATTTGGCAAAATTAGATTCTCAGATCCTCGCCTTTACCAATCATGATGAGTCTATAGCTCGTCGATTATAATATACTCCACACCAGGTGAATTACAGCTAAAAAGTATTCCTACTGATAATTGGAATACTTCTAATATTAATACAGATGTTACCTCTTTCTTAAACAATCAAGTTTCCCATTTCTATGATAATAGACAAAACAATATCAATAAGATAGATAAAGATCTTATGAAATTAGATGAAAATACATGTAATAATATAATCAAAGGAGATACAATAACTTTTGCTACACATAATATACGAGGCATCAACAATACAACAGACCCTATTAAATCTTCACAAATAATAGAACATTTTAGACATTATAATGTAGACTTTGTCAGTCTCACAGAAACTCATCACAATTCATCAATGCTTTACAAACACAAACAGGATCAACAATATACAACCTTTTGCAGGTGTTGCTCTGCTAGTTTCAAAAAAATGGGACAAATACATTTCTTCTTCATTTACATCAGACCCGCTTACTCTATGTAGATTTATACTTAAAAGGACATATCAAAATTAGAATAATTAGCTGCTACGTTTATGCCAATGTGGCTGATGCTAAATGTAGACATGATCGTAGACTCTTACAAAGACAAATTCTCAATATATTAGATGAGTGTAATAAACAACAATATCATACCATTGTAATGGAAGATTTCAACATCAATTTAGATAATTACTACGAACGTTTGAAATTAAATAAAAATCTTGGTTGGTGATTTGACCTAGTAGAAGGACTCTCCCATAGAAATTTCACAGACCTACATTATTATATAATGATGATATCCTTCCAACTTTCTTTCCACCACATAGCACCATTAAAAACTATACACCTAAAAGACTAGATGATATTTTCTGCTCACCAGACTTCTTTGCTGACCTTCTTTATTGTGGTGTTTCAAAACCTCTCATTTATCAATCAGATCACAAGATTGTTACGTCATATTTTGCTAACTCTGTTAAAAGACAAAAAGCTCATGCAAGACGTAACAAAACAAGAGAAAAAATTCAACTTTGCTATAATGACTGCATAGAAATGGAAATTTTTTGCAAAAGCCACAGACACACAATTTAAACAATATATCATGAATAAACTGCTTCTACTTTCTAAGTCTCATCATAATATGAATCACATATGAGAACATCTTCGAAATGCCATTTTATCTGCCGCCACCAAATCCATTCCCTATAAATGGATTTTCGTGGATCAAAAAGCTCCTAAACTAAAAAAATTAGTAACTTATTATGATCATTTGAAATCAATAAATAGAATAGTAATAAAATTCAGAGCCGTTAGAGTAAATTCAAGAAATTGGCCTTTAGAAGATAAATGGAATGCTGATTTATATATCATCGACAAAGTCACTTCTTCT